GCTTCTCCAGCCCCACCATGCTTCTCCAGCCCCGCCACGCTTCTCCAGCCCCACCACGCTTCTCCAGCCCGACACCGCTCCCCAGCCCCGCCACGCTTCTCCAGCCCCACCAGGCTTCCCCAGCCCCGCCACCGCTTCCCCAGCCCGCCACCGCTTCTCCAGCCCCACCAGGCTTCCCCAGCCCCGCCACCGCTTCCCAGCCCCGCCACCGCTTCTCCAGCCCCACCAGGCTTCCCCAGCCCGCCACCGCTTCTCCAGCCCTGCCACCGCTTCTCCAGCCCCGCCACCGCTTCTCCAGCCCCGCCACCGCTTCACCAGCCCCGCCACCGCTTCTCCCGCCCCGCCCCGCTTCTCCAGCCCCGCCACGCTTCTCCAGCCCCGCCACCGCTTCTCCAGCCCCGACACCGCTTCTCCAGCCCCGCCACCGCTTCCCCAGCCCGCCACCGCTTCTCCAGCCCCGCCACTGCTTCTCCAGCCCCGCCACCGCTTCTCCAGCCCCGCCACCGCTTCCCCAGCCCGCCACCGCTTCTCCAGCCCCGCCACTGCTTCTCCAGCCCCGCCACCGCTTCTCCAGCCCCGACACCGCTTCCCCAGCCCTCCACCGCTTCCCCAGCCCTCCACCGCTTCCCCAGCCCCGACACCGCTTCCCCAGCCCCGCCACCGCTTCCCCAGCCCCGACACCGCTTCCCCAGCCCCGCCACCGCTTCCCCAGCCCCGACACCGCTTCCCCAGCCCCGCCACCGCTTCTCCAGCCCCGCCACCGCTTCTCCAGCCCGCCACCGCTTCCCCAGCACTCATGGTTCTGGAGGTGTCAGCCCCCCCACCCCACGACCGCTTCCCCCACAGTCATGGCAGGTGAGGCTTCCACTGGAGAAAGGCGATTCACAACCTCGTTTATAGTTGAACCTTAGAAAGCACTTTCTCTTGGAGTCAGCATTAGGGCTCTCAGCTGCATCTAGAAGGTATACCTGAGCTTTATGTAAGAGGGGGCCTGGGGAACCCCACCTCATCGTATAGTTCAGTATAAATGAACTTCTGGAGTTAAGTCCAATCATAAGCTACACAGCGCATCTTTGCCACAACTAAATTTGCTGGCTCCTGGGGTGATCATTCAGTGCTGTAAAAGCCACGTTTCATGTGAGCTCAATCGACTCCAAATACTTCCCTTGAGCCCTCTGGCTCCAGGAGCTCTTCCTGCATGCAGGTCCGTGGGTCTCCTCAGGCTGAAGGTGCTCCTGCCTCTCCGAGGTGCCTGCACTGCGGTTGCCTCAGGCCTTTGAACCCTCCCTACCGTGCAGACGTGAAGGTGGTTTGTCCCAAGTAAGGTCACAGAACAGGCTGGGCAGGCATCCTCAGGGTCACGTGCTCCCTGCAGTCCAGGCTGGTCAAGATTTCAGCCACATTCAGACCCCCTCTGCTCTCACTCAATGATTTTAAGTGACTGATAAAAGTAACGCAATTGTATGTTTCCTGACTAAACACAGGACAGTGCAGGGTTGTATTGTCATGTCTAATTGCTACCAAATATTTGTACATCGAGGTGAACAGTTATAGATAAAGAAAGGCATTGTTCGGAGATTGGATTAATTAGTATTTAATTGCTGTAACTTGCCGTTAATCCGTTAATATCAGGAATGTAAGCCTGCAACACATGAGTCACAAGCGAAAGAAAGCAACAAGGAGTGAAGGAGCCTTTGCCAAACCCGTAACCCAAGAGAGCCTGGCCCTCCTGCAGCTCTGAACGAGCTGTTGGGATCTCAGAGTATCGACGCGGGTGAAAACTGCATTTCTCTTTCTCACCTCCAAGGTCGTTTTAAGTGGCTTAGGCACGTCGGTATGAGCTTTGATGACTCAGAGGTGATGCACACACCTTGGCAGCTGTGGGTGCCTGCAACTGAGACAATGGGCTTTCCAAGAGGAGGAGGAAGCATTTCAGGTCTGCTTGGGAGGACACCGACTACCCAGTATTCACTGCCTCCAAATCCAGATTCACTTCCTAGCGAATCTGAGCGCTCACCAGGCGCATCTTGTCTAACCCAGCATCTGTCCATGACTGAGTGGGGCCGCCGACTACAGAGTCTTGTTCTGATTTATTCCGCCTTGGTCTGGTTGAGTGGATTATCTGTCCTGCCTCCTCTGACTGGGAGAGCTTGGGAGAAGCTTTAAGGTGAATGCATTCCCAGAACCCACACTCAGCAGCACCCAGGAGCCTCGAGTGGGACCTCAGCCAAAAGCTGAGGCGAACCCAGTCAGCTTTGCCTCACACCGGGACCTGGGACTGAGGCATCCTGTCCCTGAGCACCGGGGAGCTGATTCCGGCTGCTAATTACACAAGGAGGCCCCAAAGACAATGGGGTTTCACCGCAGCCCCAGGTCCCTCCCACTCCCTTCCACCACCAGCAGTTCTGAAAGGCCTCCCTGAACTGCCCGCTGTCAGCAAAACCAGTGGGTGCCCCACAATCCCACAAACAACAAAGCCGGCAGCAGCATTTCACGCGGGTGATGTCACCCAGGTAAAATTGCACTGACAAGCTTTTAATTAAAGTTTTCCCACACGTCTCTCTGCAGGTCCCTGGAGCGATTATTCATTATGTGCCGACTGCCAGCCAATTGTGAGTCGGGAGGGAAGTGTTTTATTTTCAAAGCTCTTGCTGACAGCTAGAGAACACTTTGTTATACAATCTGTTTACGTTTTTTCACACATGCACACACTCACCCCCGTCTTGCTGAAGGGGAAGTGGCGGTGCAGGGTGCTGAACGTGTGTGGTAGTAATTACTGCATCTGCTGCCAAGGTGACGGCATGGGGGGCAGCCAAGCTCCCTGCACAATCGATCACCCCCACCTTGACGAGACGCCCCCAGCTATTCAAGCAGAGGTGGCTCCAGGAAAGCGCATGTTCGAACTGGTGCAGAGGCTGCCGCTGGAGTGGGGAGGCTCCCTGGGAAACATGGGACCAGTCCCCAGCAGGAAAAGCAGGCACGTGCAGGAGGAGCAGCTACGGGAGTCTGCAGCAGGCTTTTGTCCACACGAAGATACTGCCCATGACTCTGTCTCTGAGAACCTGCTTCTGAAGAAAGAGCCAGATTCCAGGTGTGGGAGTGACCTTCTGTGGCCCTGGGTTCTTCCTTGTACCGTCTCTGGGGAGGAGCACAGCTGCTCCGCTGTCTCCCCATCACCATGATCATGACGTGGGTGGGGTCAAAGGGCACCCACCAAGGATAGGCAGCATGCACATGTCCGTTTCCACGATGACCTTTGGGCCACTCCCGCATCCCCTGCCAGGCTGGCATGGTACCTCCTGGGAGCCACGAGGGCTTCAGAGCTGGGTGCTCACTCTGACCTGAGCTTGCTGGCTGTGAGACTCCACATGCCTAGTGTATCCTCCCAGCGTCAGTTTCCCCGCATGTAAACTGGGGAGAGGAATTGCCAACTCAAGGGGTGGGACACAGCTGAATCAGAAACTGTGAGTTCATGGTGAGGGGTGGGGTTCTTCCATCCTGAAAAGAACGGCCAGTCACATGCATCCCCCCAAACATGCAATGACACCATGACACTCAAGGAGGCCCGTCCCCATTCAGTGGCAGCTCCAAACTGGTGCAGATCGAGCACTCCAAAACCTCTGGCCCATCTCCTCACCCATCTTCCTGTCAGAATTATCTATGATTTGGACAAAGAAAGCACATGCACATGCATGCGTTCGCCTGGACCCCGGGGCTCGGCTGTGGTGCAAATACGAGAGGCGCACACGCCGCAGCCCGTGGGGGTCACCCAGGGTCTCCCTCGGGCCAGCAGGTGTCTTCCCACTTTCACCCAGACAGGCTCATGCTCCGTCGGCAGTGCTTCCTGTTTCTGGATCACTCAGGTGCAAATCCCTGGTGGGTTTGGAGCAACCCACCAGGTTGGTGAGGCGCTTTTGCTCAGTACCTCAGCACGGCTGGGACACGCTCAGAATGTCTGGTGGCCACAGCTCAGCCACCCACACACCTCCCTCCAGCTCAGCCTGTTGGCTCTTCTACCCTCTGAGCCTTACATCTTAGACAGGAAATTTATTTACTTATTGCTGTTGTTGGAGTGCAGTGGTGTGATCTCAGCCCACTGTAATCTCCACCTTCTGTGTCAAGCGATTCTCGTGCCTCAGCCTCCCAAGTAGCTAGGATTACAGGCGCTCGCCACCACACTTGGCCAACTTTTGTATTTTTTTAGTAAAAATGCTGTTTCAACATGACCAGGCTGGGTTTGAACTCCTGACCTCAAATGATCTGCCCACTTTAGCCTCCCAAAGTGCTGGAATTGCAGGCTTGAGCCACTGTGCCCTGCCCTTAGACAGTGAATTTAAAAAGAGCCAGTATGCTCTGCCCAGCACCATGGGCATCAAACCTGCAACCACCCTCAGTGGGACAAGGGAAATCAACGGGGTTTTCCCACTGCCCTGCCAGGCAGGAGTCTGACACCAGGCTGTCGCATTGCTGGGACCTTGTCCCCCTAGGGGTCATCTTCTCTCCCTCAGCTCAGGAGCCCTACCCAGGATTTAAGTGACCACATAGTGCAGAAAAACAGTTCCTGAAACTGCACTGGGTCTTTTAGGAAGCTGTGTGCATCTCGAGGCTTCCACCCGCCACGTGCTTTCTGCTCCCTTCCAGGTGCGAGGTGCAGGGCAAGGGGCCAGATCACTTCTGAGCAAGAAAAGCAGCCCTGTGCCATGGAGCCTCTCACTCAGACACAGGCGCAGATTCTGAACCCAGCGCAGGGAAGAATCTGGAACAAAGCCCACAGGAGCACAGCCAAGCCAAATCGAGGAGCTGGGAAAAGCTTTTTGGGGTCTGGCATGTCCCCTGACACTGGAAGGCAGTACAGCAATTACTCTTTTAAAGAGAAAAGCCAAGAGGGAACCACATCGCAGGTGCAGTTCACAACAGGGTTCCTGTTCCTATGAGCACATGCTCCTCTGAGCAAGGAAGGGAGGGGAGCGAGCAATGGCACATTCTAGAACCTGGGGGCTGCCACATGCGAGGCTTGAGTCTATCAGGAGAGCAGCACAGGAAGGAGGTGGCTGGAGGTACCACATCGCTGGGCTGCAGAGAACACTGGGGGCTGTTAGGAGTGGGCGGCACAGCAGGAGGTGAGTGGTGGGCGAGTGAGCGAAGCTTCTTCTGTATTTACAGCTGCTGCGCATTGCCAGCATGACTGCCTGAGCTCCGCCTCTGTCAGATCAGTGGTGGCATTAGATCCTCATAGGATCAGGAACACTGTCCTGAACTGCATATGCCAGGAATCTGCACTGTGCTCCTCATCAGAATCTAACACCTGATGATCTGTCACCATCTCTCGTCTCCCCCAGATGGGACCATCTAATTGCAGGAAAACAAGCTCAGGGCTCCCTCAGATTCTACACGATGGTGAGTTGTATAAATTATTTCATTATATATTACAATGTAATAATCATAATAGAAATAAAGTAAACAATAAATGTAATGGGCTTGAATCATCCTGAAACTATCCCCGTGCCCTGTCCATGGAAAAATTGTCTTCCATGAAGACAGTCCTTGGTGCCAAAGAGCTTGGGGACTGCTGCCCTAGGGCACCTGGCTTTATCTTAGATGCAATGGAGCCCCTGAAAGTTGTGAGTGAGAAAAAGCACCATCTAACTTGCATGTTAGAGAGAATGTTCTAGTTGCTGGGTGGCCTGTGGATGAGAGAGGAGGCAGGGGGTTCTTGGGAGGACTTCATTGTCACCCAGGAGTGGGAGTGGTCTACTGGGACAGGGCCGGGGCAATGAGGATGGACGGGGGCAGCTGGGGCAGCAAGAGAAGGGATGCGGCAGAGACAGGTCTGTGCAATGTGTCCTGTGAGCTGCAGGGTGGGCTCAGATGCTGGGTGAGCATGTGTGCAAATGCCCGAATTGAGGATGGATGGATGGATGGATGGATGGATGGATGGATGGATTCTATTGGTAGATCAGTAGAAAATCATTTATTCTCAGTTATCTGGCAGTTTCACTCTTAGAATAGGCTTACATAATGCACGAGGCAATTTTTATTAAGGCCATGAAATTGTTTGATGATCCTTATTGAACTGTGGGCTCTAAGTCTTCTCCCCTTGAGTCTCTGGTGGCTTGTGAGTGCTCCAGCCCACGTGGTATTAGGGTGGTAAATCATAGGATATCCAGAGACAAGCTGTGGCCACCCTGCTCTTCTGAACGGTCACACTGGAGTCCGGGATCTCAGGAGCCTTCCAGGTGGAAGAAGCCTGGCCATGTGGAGCCCCGGCTGACAGTCCTAGCTGAGCTCAGCATTTTAGCACCAATATCGGCCCATGGCCTGTTAGCACCGGGGCCGGCAGCAGGAGGTGAGTGAGGGTCAGTCGAGTGAGCGAAACTTCATCTGTACTTACAGCTTTGCTTTGCAAAGCTACTCTAGAAATGAGTATGTTCCCAAACCTCGGGAGCAGCCCCAGGCCTCATGTATTTCCACTTAAGATTCCAGATACTGCATGTCAGGGACACACCGTCTTCTCTGTGCCTGTTTAAATTCTTGAAATCTGAGTACATGAGCCAAATGAAACAGTTGTTTATGCCACTAAGTTTTGGGTGATTTGTTCTGCAACAATAGGAAATGGAACAGAATTTGGCAGCTGGAAGTGGGATGCCACCACAATAAAACCCTAAAATACATGGCACTCATTTTAGGGCTGGGGAAAATTGGAGAGTCTCAAACAGACCGTCAGCAGAAGCCAGGCAGATCTCATGGGAGGTGCCAGGGAAAATGAAATGAAGAGAAGGAAAAATGTTACCCGAAGAAAGAAGGCTCCTGCTATAGGGGGTAGAAATTTCAGCAAAACTATTGCTTGCAACAATGTAGAAAATACATGCAATGAAATGATGGATTAGACCAGAGAGGGTTTTTCAGCAGAATTTGGAAGTATCAACTGTTTTCTGTTAGCTGCACCTCACAGGATGAGGATAAAGAGGGGTGAATTACCAGAAGGATTCATTCAGTTTTCGAGGAGAATTTAGATAAAACATGAAAAGGCGCGGTGGCTCAAGCCTGTAATCCCAGCACTTTGGGAGGCCGAGGCGGGTGGATCACGAGGTCAACAGATCGAGACCATCCTGGTCAACATGGTGAAACCCCGTCTCTACTAAAAATACAAAAAATTAGCTGGGCATGGTGGCGCGTGCCTGTAATCCCAGCTACTCAGGAGGCTGAGGCAGGAGAATTGCCTGAACCCAGGAGGCGGAGGTTGCGGTGAGCCGAGATCGCGCCATTGCACTCCAGCCTGGGTAACAAGAGCGAAACTCTGTCTCAAAAAAAAAAAAAAAAAACATGAAAAGGCAAGATTTGTTAGCTCTGGGATTAAACAATTTTACATATTCCGGCTCTCCAGAGAAATATGGAAGGCAGTGCTTTACAGGTTCTTCCACGTTAAAAGATCTTCCGGGAGTCTCGAGGCTGTGCCTGGAAGATCTTGCTGCTAACAGGTAAACTTTTAGGAGCTTAAGAGCGTTTCCTATTTTATCCTCAAAGGGAGTTCGAGTTAAAGAAGGGCTTACCTAGCAGAGATTTTTGGGTGTGGCTTTGACTAATAGAATGAGTTATAAATGGATACAAAGGAGACCCATAACCCGTTTAAAGAATTTATACCACCTTGGACTGAAGCAGTATAGAAGCAACACGAAATGAAAAGAGTATTTTGGAGTGATAACATCTGACATCAGGAGGTAGGCTGAGAAGGGTATTCAGTTATAAACTCAGGTCATTTCTTAATAAAAAAAAAAAAAGTAGGAGGTGGAAGGGGGGCTTAGGGCATAAGCAAGAGCCCAGAAGGCTGAGCCAAGAGCCACAGAGTGAATGAGCCAGTGAATGAGATGACGGCTTAATCAGAGATTGGAGAACACACTTGGCCAGATTTCAGAACTGCTGCGGTCCAGTGACTCACATATGCCTTTTCTCCCCCAATCCCATGAATAGTGGTATCTTTAGTGGTCAACCCATATTGTCCCAGGATTGGAGATTGGGAGAGGGGCAAAGGTAATTTTCCCTTATGCTTCCAGGTCAGATTGAGAGGAACAGTACCCCAGGAACCATGCACAGAAGCCTCAGCCTTACAATACGTCATTTGTGGCCAGAGAGCAGACTGTAATGTTCTTTTTAAGAAAGATGGCCGTGCATTTTTTTCCACATGCCTCTTGTTGTGACATAGGGTCTATGTCCTCTCTTCTTAAATCTAGGAGGGCTTGCATTTGTTTTAATTTACATGCAGCAGAAGGCACTCTTCCGAATTTTGAGGTTACTCCACACAAGTGATCCAGCTTTTCCTTCCCTGCTGCATCGTGTCTGAGCTCCTTACCTACAGAACCCATGAACCCCCAAAATGGAAATTTACTGGCATGCTCAATATGGGATCCTGTGCCATCATATAAGGGGCTTCAGTATCCTAAGGCCACCACGACATGAGCAAGTCCACACAGCAGGGGAGGTCACATTGCCCAGGTCTACATTCCTAGCCCAGACACATGAGTGAGGTTGCTTCAAGTGACTCCATTCCCCATGGCATCCACTGGAATTCTCCGGAGAAACAGAACCAGTAGGGGAAAGATATGCAGATATAGAAATATATTAATCGATTTATTTTGTGAAAGGCAAATGAATCTTGGGGCTCTAAACTCACTAATCCAAAGGGAAAGTCAAGCTGGGAACTGGGTCGTGCACACCTGCCTCCTATTTCGGTTCCTAAATGAGATGCTTATAAAGTTGAAAAACTACACGCCTCCCTCACATTGTGCCCACCAGGAAATCCTGTGTGAGCCTCAGGATGTTTCCTCTACAGGGCTCCTGTTGAAGTGTGCCACGGCAACGTAAATCAGTAGCTTACTCCACAGGTGCGGGACCAAGGACAGAACTCAAAGCCATTCCTCTGCTCACCTGAGATGAACGCACATCTGACTGCTTCCTCTGCTCAACTGTCTATGTTATCTTATTTACAAATGCAGCCTCAGCCAGACAAAGGCAGGAATTACTATTCCTCCCTCCACCCCACATGAAAATTGTGCATTTCTCCATTTCTTGTCCTTTCCCTTTTAAATATTGGCACCCTCAGACTCATCTTCTAAGAAGGTCATAGACGTATCTCCTGGGCACATGTCCTTAACTTTGGCAGATAAACCTCCTAAAATGATTGAGACTTGCTGAGGTCATTTTTCTTGACTGACAATTTCAAGGAATTGGCTTATGTCATTGTGGGGGCTGGTAAGTCTGAAATCCATAAGACAGTTGAGCAGGCTGGAAACTGTCAGGAAGGAGGTCTTACTGAAGCCGTGAGGCGGAATCTCTTCCTCCTCGGGTAATCCTGTTTTGCTTTTACGTCCTTTCAACTGATTGGATAAAGCTTACCTATTATGCAGAATAATTCCTTTACTTAAAGTCAAATGATCTTAGGTCTTAACTCTTCTACAAAATATATAACAGCAACTTCTAGATTAGGGTGCAGCTGAGTAGCTGGGTTCTACAGCCCAGTCAAGTTGATATGCAAAATTGACCATCCCACCTCTTTTTTGAGTCACCCCAGACTTCCAGCCTTCACAGCTGAAGTTCCAGATTTGAATTATTCCAGACTTAACAAATTAAACGGAAGTCATCTGTGGTCAGAGAGCAGACTGCAATGTTCCTTTTAAGGAAGATGGTCATGAAATGTTAGATGCTAACCACACCTAGAAAGTACCTAACAGCAACTTCTGGGTTAAGGTGCAGTTGAGCAGCAGGACAGAAACAACGCCGCTGCTGTAGCCTGAACACTTCCCACAGAAGCTGTGAGCCCGTGGCTGGTCCTTGTCACTACCGTATTTCCGGGTGTGTTGTGAAACAGTAATAGAAGAAGGCACAAGAGGACGGTCCCTTCTCCACAGGGGCTAAAACAAGCCACCCCCAGAAAAGCCACCCCCAGAAAGCTCAGTGTAGTGCGAGAGTCCATCCCAAAAGCTGCGGCATCGTCTGGATGCTTCTCCCAGGAAAGCTCACCCCGTAGTAGCAGTAACGAACAGATGGCTGTCTTTTTCAGACACAACGAATCCTGACGTTCAGATAATGTGTAGAGACAGGCAGGAGCCCTTAGGCAGGTTCACATGGGAGTCTCTGAAATGGTGACAGTTTCATGAGTTGTCTGAAGAAGAGCATGGGGTCTCAGCAATCTCTAAACCTTTTCTTGGCCAAAATGATTGGGCTAAAATGAGAGTGGGTAGGGGGCTATCACCTATGGAGCCTCTCCAGGTGCCAGGCCATGTACCAGACAGTTATCCACACTAGTTACAGGCATTTCAGTGACAGCTCCAGTGTCAACTGAGTTTGTTGTAGGGAAGGTGGGAAACAGGAAGTAAGGAGGGACTAGAGGGGTGGGCAGAAGGAGAAAGTGGAGGACAGTGGGAAGTGGGCTTGTTATTTGCTGAAGAATCTCTGGAGAAACTGAATTCCTTTGGCCAGTTTCAGGACATAGAGCTCAGGGGCAACATTTGCAGCCATTTGGAGGTGACTTTGGTGGGCTGAATAAGGGTACACCCTGTCCCGCCATAAAGATATTTACACCCTGATCCTTGGACCTCTGGTGAGTGCTACTTTATACAGGAAAAAAAAAGAAAAAGAAACTTGCTGATGGGAAATAAGTTAAAGATATTAAGATGGGAGATGTCCCCGGACTATCCGGTGAGGCTTAAATGGATCGTCCTGTCCTTGTGTGAGAGATGAAGAGGCAGACTTGACACAAAAGAGGCCACAGGAAGACAGAGGCAGAGATGGGAGCCAAAGAACATCTGAAGAGCCCAGAAGCTGGAAGAGGCAGGAAGGGTCCTCCTTGGAGCACCTGGAGGAAGCGAGGTCCTGCCCATGCCTTGATTGTGGAATTTGGCCTATAGACTATGAGAGAATGAATTTCCATTGTCTTAAGACATCATTTTTTGATAATTTATTGCAGCACTCATAAGGAATGAACACAGTTATCCTCCCTCAGACAAAAGGCCATGGAAGCAGCCCCAGCCTGGCACATGGCAGTGGCTCTGTGTCCCCACCCAAATCTCATCTGGAATTGTGATCCTTGCCAGTGACAGGAGGGACCTGATACCTGATAGGTGTTTGGATCATGGGAGCAGCTTTGCCCGTGCTGTTCTCGCCATAGTGAGGGAGTTCTCAAGCAGTCTGGTTGTGTGATAAATGTCTGCCACTTCTCAGCCCCGTCTCTCTCTCTCCACCACCTTATAAGACATTCCTTGCTTCCCCTTCAGCTTCTGCCATGATTATAAGCTTTCTGAGGCCTCCCCCACCATGTGGAACTGCGAATCAATCAAACCTCTTTTCTTTGTAGATTTCCCAGTCTCAGGTAGTTCTTTATAGTGTAAAGATCCTTAGCTGTGGTGTCCTGGCTGAACTAGTTGCTGTGGGGGAGGGAGCAGGGAGGGGTGACACTAGACAGAGTGTCTACAGCGTCTACACTGAAACACACGTGACACACAAGTGGGCATCAGATGAATGCATGATGACAGTGACCGAGATGAGAATACCCGCAGTGAGAGGGAGGGAGGCAGGGCGGCACCCTAGGGAGGCAGGGCATATCTGGGGTTCAAGCCAGCTCTCATTCTGTCTTTCCAGATACTGGCTAGCTTCTGGCAGGGCCAAGGCATGGGCCAGGCAGGGCCAACAAAGGCTTGTGTTCACCATCAACTCATTAAGAACCCCCGCACTGTAAGCAAAGAACGTTCAAGCCTCAGACGCAATTCCCTTCAGTGCCTGCTGCCCAGGATGACTCACGCTGGATTCCGAAACCAAGGTCCCCCCTCCAGCCTTTCCCTGGCACTCTGGATAAATATTAGAAATGTGGAGGCCATCACTTCCTGTAAATAGATTTAATCTCTGAGGCTTTCATCAGCCAAACAGCAGCTCACTTACTGCTGGTGCTAAATAAATATTAAATAGTAGGGAGTGGTTAAAAGCAAACCACCTAGGCCTCAGACGCACACAGCTCCCTCTAAGGACAGCGGCTCTGGGTGCCTTCTTTTCCCTTCTCTTCCTTTCCTTTACTTCCTCCCTCCCCTCTTCCTTTTTCCTTTCCTTCTGTCTTTCTTTCTTAAGATCCTTCGGAAGCTCTTCCGGCAAACAAAAGGAGATTGAGAAGCAAACTCTCCTCTCAATCTGGAGTGGGCAGCGCCCAGGGCTCCTGGGGGGTTTTGTGTGAACTGCGGAGCCCCTGCTGTTCTGCTTTGGTTCTTCCCTCGTTCCTTCTGTTTTCAGGTGACCTTACGGAGCGCACAGGCCCGATTTCCATGAATGTGGACAGCAGCGCTCTCTGTTACCCAAATAATTGGATCTGTCTTTCCATCACTAAGACTGACTTAGCTGCGCTGTTGAGGACTGAAATATAAAATGGGAGTGCGTGCCATGAAATCCTGTTTGTAGAAAAGCAGCCACCCTCCGGGGAAGAAACCAGTGTCCTCCACAGTGGCTGAAACTGTGGGGAGAGGCTTCACCTCAGCAAACACACGCACGGCCAAGCACCCCGGCTGTTTGCTAGCAGAATCACGAGGAAGAGTAAGTCGAAAAACAAGAAAGAAAACTCTTCTGTGTACCCACAAGATGAACTGCACACGAAGTGGGGGAGGGGCCGCATCGTTCAAGACTTTGGGCCGCCGAGTCCAACCCTCCACTGCCTGTGGATGTGAAAAGCCGGCCAGGGCCACAGGTGACCTCGCAACTCACACATCTGCTGCCCCGTGGTGCCACACACTCGCCCAGGCCTGGGGCCACCTCACCCTTCGTGAGCCAGAGGGAGCTGCACAGCTGCCCTGTCCATGGAGGGGCTGACCTCAGCGTCCCCACACCAGAGTGCCCTGACCTCATCGCCCACAGGGTCCTGAGGGCTGTAGCCAGCCAGTTCCTGGGTGTCCAGGCAACAGAGAAGCTGCTGATGTGAACACAGAAGCCTAAGAGGCCCCCAGCCCAGCGGAGAAGACCCTGCTTCTTGGGATCTGGGTTGCCAGGCCTGACAGGAGGATGCACACGGCCCCGGACACCACGTGACTGAACTTCCGTAGAGCTGGTTTGTTTTCCCCAGATGATTTTTTTTTGCTTTTGTGTTTATTTTCTTGCTTGTTTTGTGGGCAGAATTGCCTTTTTTTCCTACTCTTTCTTGCATGAGCTTTGGAAACCAAAAAAAATGAAAAAGAAAAAGAAAATATTTTGGGTGAACACATTACTTTTTATTCAGACACTTCCTTGAGTTTCAGCAGGTGTGTAAACTGCAGTCCCAGGCCTCCGGCTCTGGCGACCACCTCCTACCTTGCTCACCAGCACCTGCCGGGGCAGAAATCTCACGGAGGATCAGACAGGCCAGCGTTTCACAAACAGAGGACTGAGTAGAGGATGCCTGGGAACCTAGACCGCAAAGGCTCAGCTGCAGCCACGCCTGGCACAGGGACACAGGGAGGTTGCTGTTAGGAGGACTGAGCTCTGAGGAGCACCTGACATGAAGCCGCACCTGTCTCCTAGTCAGGAGGACTGAGCTCTGAGGAGCACCTGACAGGAAGCCGCACCTGTCTCCTAGTCAGGAGGACTGAGCTCTGAGGAGCACCTGACAGGAAGCCGCACCTGTCTCCTAGTCAGGAGGACTGAGCTCTGAGGAGCACCTGACAGGAAGCCGCACCTGTCTCCTAGTCAGGAGGACTGAACTCTGAGGAGCACCTGACACGAAGCCGCACCTGTCTCCTAGTCAGGAGGACTGAGCTCTGAGGAGCACCTGACACGAAGCCGCACTTGTCCCCTAGGGAGCCGCCCATCAGTGATTCCAAGCATTGATGAAGACCGGCCTTAAGAACAAGAAGGAAAGGCGAAGTCACAAAAGGCTGCTGGTCACCCCCTTCCACGTGTGACTCTTTAACACGGCCACGCCAGGTGGGGGACCTGGGGTGTTTGGGGAAGGCCCAGCGCAGCCTGCCCATGAGGCCAGCAGATGTGCTGGGGCTTTGATACCCAAAATATCCCCAAACAGAGCATGGAGGGAAACTGATCTGCAGATGTGTCGCCGGGAAGAGTCGACCTCCTGCCAATCAGTGAGTCAGAGTTGCGTCTCCCCAGGTCAGCCTTACCTTCTGAAGTGTAAGCAGGTAGTAGGCTCGCAGTTCACATTTTCCCGCATCTTCAAAGACAAGGCACCCAGATTGTGGGATGTTCTTGGCAAAGTTGTGTTCTTCTGGAAAATAATCCACGAGGGAGCAGAAGAGGGTTCCGAGGGCTTGAGCTTTCCCGGAGAAGCTGGTTCCGCGGCAGGGCGAGGGGCCACAGGGCTGCCCTGGGAGCAGACGCCCGTGCGTTGCTGCTGGGCACACCAGGTCCAGAGAGACCAGGAGCTCCTTCCTGCCCCGTGGGTCCCGTTTCCCACCTGACACTAATGACTGGTCCCGGCCAGCGTGCTTCCTCCTGGGATCTTTGTGCAAGTCTCTCCTTGGGGAGGACAGAGCTCTCAGGCACTCCTGGTGCGTGCGTCCTGATATCCCTGTGGTGAACCAGAGATTCTGTTTTCACTAATTCCCACTCTAAGTGAGAAGAAACCAAAGCATAGAAGAGACGCGGATCAAAGCTTCAGCCCTCCCCAGACAGCTGCAATGAACCTGTGCGCATTTTCCTCACACCAGAACACTTTGCTCTGCTGGGGACTAGGAGTTCTCAGAGTAGCGGCTTCGAATCTGCCATGCGCCCATTCTCTCAAGGGATTCTCAGAAACTCTCAAATTTCCAACACAAAATGCAAAAGGAAGCCCAAAGAAAAATTGAAAGAAGTTATGCACATAAGGTTTTTATTTTTAATCCCATGGAGGTAGGTTTTGAATGGGCAGACTAAATTTTTGTCCTTACCTTAGAAACTGTTGACTAGTTTATTATAAAATAGTTGACATAGTAACACAATAAAAATGCAGTAAGTAAAACAAACATTCTGTTCTTCGGTTGGCTCCCATCAGGTCCCTTTGGACGTGGCCTTGTCCATCAGAGGGCAGGGCTCAGTCTGAAAGTCTGCCCAAACCTGGAGAGTGACGAGGACGCCCGCCATGGAGTCAGAGGCCTGCGCACGTCTGAGCGCCGCTGACCTTCCTGGTATGCGAGTGAGGTGCCTCCTAGTGACCCTTCCTAGTGCGGGAGGAACCGGGCCTCCCAGAGAGGTGTGTCCTCCTGGAAACTCAGCGTGTGACCTTGTGTGAAATAAGAGACTTTGCAAATGTGAATAAATGAAGAAGCTCATGGGGAGGCTATTTTGGGTTGGGATGGGCCCTAAGTGTGATGGGGGTGTCCTTGAGAGCCTCAGAACAGGAGAAGCCGTGGAGGAGCACGCCACGTGCAGACAGAGGCAGAGACAGGGCTGCGTTCCCGGCCACAGTGTGTCTGGGCGGCCAACAACACAGAGCAAGGACGGAGCCTCCCTTGGAGCCTCCAGAAGGAACCAGCCCTGCTGAAACTTTGATCTGGGACTTCTAGCCCCCAGCACTATGAGACGATCACTTCCTGTTGTTTTAAGCCGGTCTGTGTGAATGTGTACAGCGGCCTCAGAAACGCACATATGTAGGCATCCAGGAAAAGGGACCAGGCGGTCACAGGAGAAAGAGAAAGAGAAAGCCTGGGAAGCCTGCTGCCTGCAGGAGGCTGACCTCCTGGTGCACTGGCCCAGAGTCCTACGCCCGACCCCCAGGATGCCAGCCTCCTTAGTGTCCAGCATACCCCTGACAGTGAGGGCCCTCCAGGGCCAGGAGGGGCTGTCATGATTCATTTTCTGTGGCAGAGGCCACCTGGACACAGAGGATGGTCCGGGACCCTGAGGGAGCAGGGAAGACCAAGGCAGGGGCAGGGGCAGGGGTGCTGTGGGCCCTCCACACACCTAGAACCTGGCCCTGCCCAGCTGAGCTGAGCAGCCCTTCCCATCCCCCAGTAGGGAATATGGAGAAATGTGGGCAGACGGAGCTTCTTAGGAAATGTAGAGCAGAGATGGGGGGGTGCAGGGGAGTCAGGACTCTGAAGACACTGAGGGCAACTCTGAGAGGAGCAGGTGCCCTGCTTACCCTTGAGGAGCTGGATGAGCCTCGCTCTTTTTGGGCTCTGCATTGAGTCCCGGACCTCAGAGCTCCAGCCAGGGTGAAGAAGGTGGCCTGGGGCTGGCATGGCACCTGCTCGCTGAGCCAGCAGCCCACACCCTGCAGTGCACCTGCCTTCCTGGAGAGAGCCATGGGACACTGCTTGAGAGCGCAGGGTCAGACTCTTCTGCTTTGCCTGGAACGTGGACTCACCATGCGCTCCCTGGTACTCTCAGAGTTTGACCTTCGGAGAACCCTGTGCTGGTGCAGCCAAGGGCTCAGACCCCCGGGGAGGAGAGGCCACTCAGACGCCACCGGGATGGGAGGCGGAGTCAGGTGAGGGGCCTGAGTGGTAAAGGCACCTGGAGAAGCCACCCAGCTCCAGGCCCCGCTACCTCTCTCGGGCTGAGGTCACACCACAGAGACCTGAACACTGTACCCAAGAAAGGTGAAAACAAGAAACCGGTCATGGACATCCTGCTCGTTGTCAACTTTCCATCCTGAATCAAGAGAACATGCAGCCTCCATGCAAGAAAACCAGTGGGTTCACCTCCTTCTGGGACTTCCCTCTTAAGGACAAGGACAGACCCCCCATCCCCAGTGCCTCCTGCAGGCATCCTCCCGGCCCTGGCATCGCCCTTGGGGTTCTCCCCCGACCCCAGGAATCCTCCCACCAGGTCTGCATGTGAATGCTCAGATCAATGGCTTCAGATGGAGCCCGGCGAAGATTAATGGAGTCCGTCCCATCCCCTTTATCTCTCCCAGCCGAGTTTCCTCTCAATTATACACGGCTAGGTACAAAATCTGGATGGATGGCGGCTCGCAGCATTGCAGCACCTGCACGTTAACCGGAATTAAACCTGGTTTAGGAGTTACTTCAGGTGCGTGGCTTTCCAGGGGCAGGAGCAAATCCAGCAAAAGGCCCCAACTCTTCCCTCTTCTCTCCACAGCCAACCAGGGCAAACCAGCGAGAGGGAAGGGATGAGAGGATGAGGATGGGCAGGCACTCATTCAGGCCTTCAGCTGGCGCTGCTCTTCTGGGGTCTGTGTCCAGGTCCCTTATCTTTCTCCTCCTAGGCCTTCCCAGCCGTCCACCTCACCCCAGCCCTCAGCACACATCCCTCCTGCAATTGTTTCTAAATCAGCAGGAGGTCTGGGAACTGTGCCTGCAGCCGAAGCGGAGAAAACCCCTCCAACACCTCCCCTCCCACCAGTCATTAAACCTCCAGCCCTGAGCCAGCCCTGCCTAGGATGCCAAGCAGCCCTTCTCCCTGTGAATCTGCTTTCCCGAGCCCATCTCTGCGAGGACAGCCCGTGCCCACCCTGCCCTGCTCAGCCCTGGAAGGTGCCTGGTGGCCACTGCAGTTCACACCCAAGATACCCGGGTAGAAGACTGCCTGCAAAGTTTCCATAATACGCACTCGAGGCGGGAAGTGGGGATTCACGGAATACCACACCGTTCTCAAAGGCTGAAAGATCCATTTGCAAAACGGACAGGCTTAAGTGCCATTCACATTTCCCAGAAACCACTGGGAAAAGTTCCCTGCTTCTCTCAGATACAGATAACTGGGACTGCGCGAGCTGCCGCACTCCTGGTGCTGGGTCATCTGAAATATTTATGAAGACGTGGCCTTGCTCTGTCTGCCTTCACACTTCCACTCCTCTGCTGTGGCAGAATCCTTCTGGCTGCTGTCACTACCGCAGACTTCCCAGCCGGATAAATCCTAAGGCCGCATCTCCCCATTTCCCTTGTTTGACATCTCGGTGACATTTAGCCCTCTGGAAATGGGCTCTTCCCCCGACCAAGGGACACTGCCTGCTTCGGCTTCCCCTGTGCTCTGAGGGCCCCTTCTCATTGCCCGGCCCTCTGCCTCTGGTCCCAGGGGTGTTGGGGCTCTTGACGTTTCTGTCCCCAGTGCTCTAGTCCTGTGGGCCGAGGCCTTTCCTGCCCAGAGCCTAAGGAACACCAACCAGAGCTCCTCTCTCTGTCACCGTGTGAGGCGAACTGTCCTCATCCACTTGTAGAGGCAGAAGTCAGCAGCCCCGCAGCCCATGGCCGTGGGGTGGGCAGCATCGGCCCCTGCAGGGTTACATGCCTGCCCGACCTGCACCCACACTCCCAGTGAGATGACACCCTTCTGTGCACAGATGTATAACCCTGCCGGCCACGTGGCTGAATCCACCGCAGAATCATGTTTAAAAGCAAACATGCCCGGCTTCCAAACCGAGTCAAGCTCTACCTGCAATCACAGGAAAACCTGAGTTTCTCCAGCAGTGTTCAGAGGGTCTGCAGATGGAGCCAGGCAGACTTCCGGGCAGACTCTTCCCTTCCCCGACCAGTCTCTAACCCCTGCGGGGACCACCACTCCTCCAAATGCCTGAACCCCCCTGTTCCCCGACCTGTCTCCTCTACACCACCTCCCCGACACTACACTCAGGGCCTCAGCCAGGGCCGCCTGGCTCCTCAGAAGATAATCCAGGCCCCGTGCCCACCTCCCAGCTCTGGACTGCCTCAGGAGCTCCAAAGCCACGCTGGCTCCTCTGGTCCCACCAAGGCAGGAACTGAGCTGGAGCCAGGCAGAGGGAGGGCCACAGCTGCCAGGAGCCCTCCGAAGGGAGGAATCCTCCCTTATCCATTGTTTAAACAACAGGATTGTATGTGTAACACATCTACGTGGAGGCGCTGGTCTTTGTAAGGAGCTGTCTGTGTCCAGTGGCACCACCTGGCAGCTCCACAGGGCCTGGCTGAGGAGTGAGCGGAGCCCGGGGCCCCCAGCCCGTGCACAGAGGCCCCACAGAGGGTTCGTGCAGACCAGACATGCCGGAGGCCTGCAGGGACCTCCAGGGCCGTTCTGCCCCATTGCTGCGCTGCAAAAAGAAAATAATAATAATTTCTAAGACTTTCAGATTCAGCCTCCCAAAGTACTTTTCCAGGAACACACTTTGAAAGAACACCATAGAAAATACAGTCCCCGTGACATGAACCTTCAGACATACTCGTGATTTAGGGGGCGAGACGGCAAAGGGATCTCGGGAAGAATTTTTTTGTTTCTAAAATTTCAGGAGAAAGCACACCTTTGAGCTGGGCCTGTGCCGTTAGCGTTCAAAATCCCCCTCATGCTTTGCTTGGTTCTTTCCTGAGCTGAGCACGAGAGAAAGGTGTGTGGTGGGGTCTGCACCTGGGCTTCCCTTCATAAGGGAAGTCAGTTCCAAAGGTCACGTCTAAAGCATGAAGCCTCACACTTTCTATAAAGCACAGCAGATACTGGAGAGTGACTCTTCGGAGGAGGTGCCAAAGCGCGTCTTCAGGGTACACAGAGGTTGTTCTGGAAGGAGCGTGAAGGCTCCGGTGCTGATGGAGAGCCCGGATTCAGCCAAGAAGGTGTCTGTCACTGCGCCTGCACTGAGTGCCTACTGTATGCCTGGCACGTGCAGAGAGAGAGAAGGGGCAGAGGCTCTGTCCTCCAGCCTGGCACATGCTCAGCAGGAGGTGCACACAAGAAGGTGTGAGAACTTGTACTCCGCAGTGATGGACACAGCCTCCCGGCCACTGGCCCAGCCCCAGAGGCTATAGGGAGGACAGGCAGGTGCTGGGACTCATGTCTGACACGCTCTGGCCTTCACAAGCTCAGCTCCTGGAATTCCACTCAGTCGAGATGAGTTCCGTCTTAATGGGAGAGAAACTGAAGCTGACTTTTTCTCTTACTAAGCAGAATGCCCAGCTCTGCTCCGGAAATGGACCACAAAGCTGGAACATGCAAGAGAAGGCTCTAAAATCTCAGCCTCCTCTGAGCACAGCCACACTTTAGCAAACTCGTTACTGGAAAACAAGGTTCCAGTACGCTGCTGAGGTTTCAGACAGCTATTGATCCAAACTCCCCTTTCCACTCTGAAATTCTTACCAGCAAAATGCTAAAGTCAATTGATGCCATTAACAGCTCCTCTCTGCTTTCCTTGGGAAATCCACATTCATTATTATTGAAACTGTAATATTTATTTCTTTCAAGAAAATAGAGAAAACAAACGCACAGTGGTGGCACCGCATGAGAGTTTTTGGAATTTCCTGTGTCCAGAGGAGCAGGTGAGAGCCTGGGAACTGGCTGCAAAGCTGGCTGTGTCGTAGGGACGGGGCAGCCTCTTCCTCCCCCACACCTGGGTCTGCTGGAGATTACCTGGCCCAATGGCAGCGGGCA